TTCCTCAACTGCTCAGATCAGGTTTCCCAGGTTTACATCTCTCTAATCCAATCAGAGGCATTGGAGTCACGCAATTTGTGTGTTAGTGCGTGTATTGTATGTGTGCGTCACGACCGCTTCCTTTGTCTCTCCTCATGGCTTCGATTTCTTATCGAATTTCTGGTTTGTTTTCCCCCCCGTCCTATAGGAGCGTGGGCCAAATCTGTGAACAGGTACAGGATCCAAGTCACTGAGTAATAATGGAGCTTAGCGGGTTGATTTAAACTCACAGTACATTCGTGCATGGTGGAACAGCCCAGAAAAATGGCAACATTATTTCATAGAATAACAATAAAAACATAAAAATCTCCACAGAGAGGGCCTATATCAGTCGCTGGAATCTCTTCACACTGCAGCAAATAGTAATCAATTTTCCAGTCGAAAAAAAAATGCATGTAAACTGATGAAGGGCTATTTTTTTCCATTACGGGAGAAGAGAACTTTCTTTCACTTCAAAAATCATTATGGCATAACCTAAGCCGTTTTCATAGCACAAGCACTGACCTAACACAATAGAACTTTCACATCAGATATTCTGTGTATTTGACAAGGTAAGAACAAAGTGCAGAGAGCTCACTTGAACTGGAAGCCGCAGGCATTTGGCCTGGGTAAGACTGCATACAAAATTACAGTGTTGTGGCTGAACTGAAGAACATTTCTGACAGATTAAAAGAAAGGCTCTTGATATTTCTGTTCTTTTTGGTTATAGAGTGGCTATGGGATTCAATTCCCACCGAAAGTATTGGCGGTCAGATGAAACAATAAGAACACATGTAAAAAATTTAATTGCGCAAACTGAAAAAAAAGAATGCAAAATGATCAGAATAGCAAACACGTGGTCACGGATCAAAATATAATAAGCGTGAATCAAAAAAAGTTACTCTGTACTTTGTGCTCTCTTACAAATTCATTCTACTATATTTTAATCTTTTGTACGCTTTTGTGTTTTTCACGTCGCTCTTCTTTTCCAAAATGTTGCAGTTTGGTTTCATGTAAATTAGGGCAGGCCTTAAGCGCCACATTGGTCCACTACTTCTTGATTGACAGCTCCTCCTTTAGCCATTCAATCGGAGAGGGGAGTTGACGTCACTCCAATGTGACTCATGGCTACCCTAATCCAGCACCCGGAAAGCGTACATTCATGGGGGTCGCCATTGGCTAGCAAGCCATCACCTGCTGTTAGCATTCCTTTGACACCCAATCATTTTGGCGTCACTTTGACCAGCGAATAACTGTACATCTGAGGCGTTTAAAGACTCCATTGTGTCCATTATTTATTTCTAAAGAAACACGACAATGTCATACAAAGGCTCCATTACCTTGTATCTTACGTTATGGCCCCGTAGTTTTTGTAAAAAATAGACTAACAATTGCGTTATAACTACGCGACTCTCTGTCGCACAGTAGAGAAATTACCGTATAGACAGGAGGAGAAGCTCGCGGGCAATCGGGGGGGACGTGGAGGCATAAAGTCGAGGGAGAAGCCCATAGAGAGTCATAAAGTTGCTCCTGCTGCGAGCTCATGGACAGCTCCTACTCACGCTCTCCGGCTCTGTGAGATTCGAAAGGGAATGATTCAGATTCCTCTTGGCACAGCTACTAGAAGACTTACAGCTGTCAGACAGCTTGCTCACGTCACATCTACGTCGTCAAGCTGAGTTTGAGCCTGCGCAATACGCTCAGCCATCAGGAAGTGAGTGCTTCTAATTGACTTCACTTTTCTCCGTTGAAATCTATGGGGTCGCTGTGTCCATTTCTTTTACTGTCTATGATGGCTACTGATGGCTACCCCGAGCTGGGGTAAAATCTTTCCGTGGCAGGACACCGTTATATTTGTATGTTTGTCTGCAACTCGACCTGTCACCGGTATATACGTCGACCTGGAAAAAGGTCATGAACCTGAAACGACCCTTCACAATAAATACTGGCTTTACAGTGAACTCTGTTAGAGAGCTATATGGCTATTTATCTGTTTAATAAAATACATTACTCGCCTGTTGAGTGATAAAAAACACCATCATCTCTGCGTCGCCTTTTACAACATTTCAAATCCCTCAGTTCTCTCCATCTCCGAAAAAAACCAAGCCAATGTTGATTCTTGTTTTATTACAAGCTCTGTCGCGAGGTCTCTTTTTGCCAGCAGACTCTCCTCTGTTCGGCGTTTTTTCTTTTTTTAACCGGGTGATTCCCCGGAGGTTGGAGATTTAACTGCTCCATGTCAACCTTTCTCACTAATTGTGACAACTAACCTCTGCCACTCCCACACCATTATGGATATGACGAGACACGCACAGGCGAGTGACGCATGTACGCAATTTCCCGCGAAAACCATCCCGACATGTCTAAAACATAAACACTAATAATAGGCTTACCATCGTAAATCAGGGTAAGACAAAATTTCATTGATGGGTGAACTATCTCTTTAAGTTTGAACATAAAGGAAACAAAAGGGAAAAAAAGATTGTCCAGACTTGAACTCATTAACCATATGCAGGTCAAAGGTGCAAATATGACCTCAGAGAATAAAAGTGGCCCTTTGGAAAACAAACCTGCTGATTTAATGCGGCCATTTCAGCTTGTGCGCACGGTCTCACCCCTCAGGAACCAATTAGACCAAATGTTTTTGTAGCAGTCCGATTGCCTTGATGTGTTTTCAAAGAAAAGAATGAAAAAGAGAAAAAAAGAAAAATGAAACAGACAAAAAAAAAAAGAGAGAAACAAAGTGGCAGTAGTACCATGTGATTCCTGCAGAGGAAGGGTCAGAGCGTAATTACAGAAGGTTAAACGGTTTCCCTGATGCTCTCAAGGAGCCCGGGATGGAAATGAAAAGCAAGTGAACCGATGCGAGCGGGTGGCGTAGAGACGCAAGGCCCCGCTCCTCTGATCTGAAGAACACGTGTTACATGTGCTACGCTACTGCGGCTGATGGCTTATCTATGTGGCGGAGCCCAAAGCAATCCGAACTTTGATGTGCAGGAAATAGAGGAGGGGGGGGTGTGGGAGCCAGACAGCAGGTACTAATATGACTGTATACTATAGGTCTGTGTGAGTGGATTGAGGGAAAACCTCTGAGCATGAGAGATTAGCTGATTCATACAAAATTATGCATGAAGTGATTGATTTCCTAGACAAAGGGTTGTGCATAACAATAAAAACGTGTAGTGGATCAATCTCATTGTCAGAGCATTGAAAAATCAATTCACTCATGTGATATTATAAAGAGATAACCTAACATATAATGCAGTGTTTCCCAACCCTGTTCCTGGAGGCACATCAACAGTGCACATTTTGGATGTCTTCCTATCTGACCCATATATTCTTGTTTTGGAGTCTCTACTAACAAGCTGATGAGTTGAATCAGGTGGGTTAGATTAAGAAGAGTTCAAATATGTTTAGTATTGGTGTGCCTCCAGGAACAGGATTGGGAAACACTGATATAAATGTATTGCTGTACTCAATCATTTCGCACAGGCGACTTGCATTTGTAGAATGTGCATACGATGTTATCATACTAAATAAAAGGATCACATATTCCATAATATAATAGAATATTTTAGCAAATCACATGAGCAATTGTGAGCTTTTAAACAACAGTTCAATTAGCAAGAAGATAATGTCAGAGTAACGTCAGGTTCTTGGTAAAAATGATGTACCTTGGATAATAGAGCTGTGATCTTGTCACGGGTGTTGTAGTAGCTGGAGTTGACCCATATCACACGAATAGAGGTTGAGGATGTGAGCGAGTTTGGGTACAATCTCGCGAGGTTTAAGCTGAGCAAGCTCCTCACAAGGCTCTTTCAGTAAGGACAGGAAGGAGACGTTAGACTGAGCCTGCAAAGTGCTGTCCTGGAGAACAAAACAAAAACAATGTTACTTCAACAAACAGACAGATAGACCGGCAGACAGATCGACAGACAGGACAGGCACATAGACAAACAGGGATGGTTGGATGGATGGATGATGGATAGATTTGTTTATTCGGATCCCCATTTGGCTACTCTTCCTGGGGGTCCAACAAGTAAAACTAAAAAACTACATAGACACACTGACAAAAAGATATTAGATAAGGAGAGAGGACAGACAGACAGACGATAGAGTGAGAGTGAGAGTGAGAGAGATAGACAAAAGGCAGACCAGTCAGACAGACAATAGATAAACAGACAGACACCACTTAACACCACCTAAACCAAATCAAATAATTGAGTTTTTACATTGCACCGATTTTACTCATCTGGGTCAGTTGCAATAACTGCTTGAGGCTGGCCAACACTAAAAGATTTTTAAAAATCATATATTCAACAGTTTTGTTCCTATAGTGTGTGGAGTGCCGCGATGTGACCACAACAGCACAACATACACTAACAAATCCATTCGAGTCCCGACTGTGAACATGGGAAATCTCCAGAAATCTCTTGCAGTCAAACATGACTTTAGAGTAAACAATCATGGCGGACGATGGCAAGAAGAAATGGCGATAATAGAATTTGGACTGCTTTTAACAGAAAATTGTGTGGGAAAAAAGAAAAAGGTTTGGATGAACTTGTGTTTTGCTTTCGTCTTCCGGCAGCTCACTTTCTAATTTGGTATTGTTCCACGTGACAATCTACAGAGTGTGTGGACGTTTGTCCTCAGGGGTTCCTCTCACACAACAGGATTTCAGATCGTAAATATTTAACATGTTGGATATTTAGGATTTGAGATCAGTGCGGCCCCGACATTCTTCCGAGCAGATTCAATCACTCTTAAAACAATCTGTAGAACTATCAGGATAATCGGGACTTTACCTAAACTAGTTGTTAAGACACAATTCGAGTACTAATGCACTATTCTAGTACAATTAGTGTGTTCACACTGAAAATTCAAAAAAGAAAAAGTGCACTTTAAAAACCCATATGATGCACTTACTGTAATTAACCGATAAAACGAAGCGTAGAATGTTGGACACTTTATAGGGAGGGAGTTGTTGAATGACAAAATAACCTTATAAAGTTCTTACACTACACGGTTGAGTGCATAAGTATATAGTGTATAAGTGTATAGTGCATCAGTTGGGACACAACTACAGTTTTAACTTATTCATTATGTTTATGCAACTGGCCCCTGAAGTCAATTTGCACAGTTAAGGTCAACTTCAGCGACATCAGAATAAGCTTAAAGGGTTTTATCCAAGTAAAGTGAGTGCCACCATTGACACACAACATTGGCTGTTACAGGACAGTGATCAGGCACACAGCCGACTCTACATCGCCACTATTACAAGCAGCCATGGGTGCCCCTGAAGGTCAAATAGAGCTGATGTTTAATTATTTCACACTGGTCACATTGATTTTTTTCAGAGGCTTTGGAGATTGTTTAAAATTAAGGATGGCAGTTGCTGCAGCCTTGCAGTTTTGCGCAGAATGAAGCTGGAGGCATGACAATCAGAAAAAGGGACACGTGTCCTCCACACTGATGCAGGACCGGCTTCCTCTATCTAAACCCCAATCCCAAGTCATTATAAGAACAACCATAAACTGATCTAAAATCAGTGTTAAAGGACAATGAGGGTGCGACACTAAGCTGACAGACAGGCTCCGTCTCTCGCTGAAACGAGGAGCCGGGCCAACTCTTAATAGCGAAGAGTGAATGTGAGACGGCCTCATTTCCGAGGGGTGAGGAGAAGCCGCTCGGAAGGCGCATATAAATCATCAACAGCCAGAGAATGTTCTTGTTCAGCCCATTACCCCTCGGCTCAATTCCTGCCATGTAGCCCTGCGCAGTTTTTTCACACACTCATGGACACACACACACACAAGTATGTAGGTACTGGGCTGTACCTGGATCTGCTTGGCTAGTTCACAGAAGGGTGGGATGTAGTTTGATGTGTAGAGCTGAAGAATGGCCTGTATATGACAGGACTCCAGGTTTCTGCAGCTGCTTACTAATGCTGTCCAGATCAGCACAGCGACTCTTCCAGAAAGAGATCTCCTCCAGCGGGCCTGAGGTGTCTCCCATGTCACTCACGGATTGAGCGCTGAGCACTGCTTTTATCTGACGTGTCCAGTGGATCATCACCACTGGGGGAGAGAGAGAGAGAGAGAGAGAGAGAGAGAGAGAGAGAGAGAGAGAGAGAGAGAGAGAGAGAGAGAGAGAGAGAGAGAGAGAGAGAGAGAGAGAGAGAGAGAGAGAGAGAGAGAGAGAGAGAGAGAGAGAGAGAGAGAGAGAGGAGAGAGAGAGAGAGAGAGAGAGAGAGAGAGAGAGAGAGAGAGAGAGAGAGAGTTTTGGTTTGTAAGGTGCTGCATTATATTTAATCAAACCAGACAAATAGGTTTGCATGGAATCTCTGGCCAAAGAATTCTGTTGAATTTAAATGCCCATCGTTTACAAAGTTGTGTGCACCCCTTACGTGATCTTTCATTAAATATTTTAATATATATACATTAATATATCCTCTGTTCTGAATGCAACCGAATACTCCACTGAATTTCACTTTAGGTCAAGTTCTCCCAGGATAGAATCACATCCCAATGGTAATTCTACAGCTATTTGCCATTTTGGTTGTGATTAACTTAAATTAACCAGCATTAAAAGACTGTTAACTACTGGCAAGATTTAGTAATGCTGAATAACATACAACACCCTAAAACAATGGCTATGGTCTGTATTTGTCAAAGTGATGTCAGCCAAAAAAGTCTTTTCACAGGCCGAGTAAGTCATTCAATTTTGACAAAGGATTAAAAAAAATACAAAAAAACAAACAAAACAACAAAAACAGAAATAATATAATATAGTTTGGGATCAGTAAGATTCTTTGTTGTTTTTTTAAAGAAGTTAATACTTTTATTCAGCAAGAACTCATTAACCCTTAAACAGGCAAGAGTGGAAAATGATCAGCAAAAAATATTTTCATATCACTTTTTATATCATCTAGCCTTAAGTCAAACGTTTTTGACTTTTTTCAAAAGAATTTTTTTTATTTATATTTTGGATTTAATGAGTTGTATCTCCCAGGATATGTTGCCCTATTAAGGTATAAAAATGCCCCAAATCATCAATATTTCTGTGTTTTATGTGATGCAAAATACATGTAATATGCAAAATATGCTGCATGTATGACATGTCTAAGGGCCAGATTTACTAAAAAGGGCAAATTAGGCATGCAACTTCTACTGATGACGTGCAAATTAAAGAACACAGTCGGATCATTTCCACAATGACCAACGCAATCTACCAAGAGTAGCAAGCAAATTAACGTCTGTTTTTTTTTTAGATTGTCACCAATTTTACCTATTTTATTCAGCATACATTTAAACTTCTTAATTATTGCTCAGATAATGGAAATTAGTATTTGAACAATTAAACCATTATTGTAAAGCCATTTCATGACTTGTGTAGCTCAACAATATTTTGTCAAATCAAAATCATTACTGTATTCTCAGGTCTTTCCCATAGTGATGGATGACTATTGGAATTTAGCCTGTGCGTACAGCACAGCACATCATCACATCCGTCATGTCATTCCTCATTTCTTACTGCTGTAGACAGCAAATCCGGCCCACTTTACAGTGCTCTGCATGCTGGTGAAATGGATCAACACAAGAGCATATAATGGAAACATGATAAAGCGTCACACCTCTATATTTAGAGCCCAGTAAAACAGGAAGTCATGACTTATCACTTAATCACTAAGGTGAACATAAAAACATACCATATGAATAAGAATATACTAGCTACTAATCTTTACTCATTCGAATTTAGAAAACCAATAATTTTGGCACACAAAACCATATTTATTTTATTTATTCCACATTTATATTTTGTGTTAATTCACTTCAGTTAATGGTTAGATTTTTGTGAATATGTTGAATGAAAGACTAAGAGGAGAAGTGGCAGTCAGTTTGCTCACAGTCCACTGTAAAGTGTAATAAGATTTTTATAATATCACTGTTTTACTGTTTACCTTGGTGAACATAATAGACTTTCAAAAACATAAAACAAAAATTCTTACCGACCACAAACGGCATATTTTAATAACAAGCACTGATGAATCATGCCAGAATGTGCATTTGTGTGAAGGGAACTGGTGTTAAACTGAACATGTGTTAAGAAAGGGACTTTAACACAGTGGAGAAATTTAAAATAAAAGCACTTGGAGGACAAACAGCCTCTGCTCTGCTGCCTGCTGTAAAAGACCCTGAGTGGGGTATCCTTCATACTGTGTCCTGCAATTTTTTTCCAAAGTTAACTTCTAAAATACCTTTTCCTCCAACATGTCCAAGTGCCCCCAGAATGTCCTTTTAACCCTGGACCCCTTCAGGACCACCAAATTTAATAAAGACTCCTTTAACTCTCTTAGAGCAGCATGGCAGTGTTGAATTGAATTAGCCCTTTATTTTTGCCCTTCAGCTGTGGTTACTGTGTAAATCACACTCACAGGCTCTAGCCACGGACTGTCACGGTAGATGTAATTTCCTGCGTCTTATGTACTATTCACACTGTTCATTCCTCACAGTCCACTCTATCAGAAATTATTCAAGCCCTCACACCCCCATTTACACACACACAAGCACCCATGCATACACACACGGCCGCTTTCTTACTCTCCAGCCTTTGCACCAGACTCTTGTTCACGACGGCCTCCTCTGGGCGGTGCTGCAGAGCCTCCAGAGGGACGTAGAGCACTGTGCTGCCTAGATGTTTAAATCTGCTGTCTGTGGAGAAGAACAATAGTTGGACATCAGTAATCTGATCAGTGAAAGTCATTCATACTAGCAACACCACGTACGGCACAGCACATCATCACATCCGTCATGTCATTCCTCATCTCTTACTGCTGTAGACAGCAAATCCGGCCCACTTTACAGTGCTCTGCATGCTGGCGAAATTAATCAACACAAGAGCAATTAATGGAAACATGATCAAAGTTTACTGCTAAGCTTTTATGCCTGTGTGGCACATGTCAGCTCAACAGTCACAAACAGTTTTTTTTACAACTGCTATTTGTTTTCTTTGTAGCTTTCTACAGTATCTGCTGCTACTTCCATGACGGACATCAAAACGGTGCTCGCTGCAGCCACTTTAAACGGCAGATAAAAAGATAATAGTGGTCTGTCACAAGAAATTGCTGGAATAAGAAAAAGTCTGATGGAGGGAGACAGAAAAAAGAGAGTGAGATACAAAAAGTGCAAAGCTTATTGAGAAATGAAAAGAATAAAAGGAACAAGGCCAGTGTGTGCAAGTTAGACGAGCTGCTCCGTTCTGTGACGGCAGAAATGAGACATTGAAGTAAAGAGAGTGTAGGAACACAATGACAGCATTCGATTGGCCTTTACAGGGAGAACAAAGACAAGCAAACGGGATACACCAGAAGGAAAATAATGAGACATAAAAAATAAAAAAAAACGGCAAGTGAATGAGTCAGCTGGCTGGGAGGCGAAAACTGTGTGTGCGTGTGTATTTGTGCGTCTAATCCTACAGAGTGTATTGCGTCTTTTTGTTAGTGTAGGAGATACAGTGTCTACACTCACCTAAAGGATTATTAGGAACACCTGTTCAATTTCTCATTAATGCAATTATCTAATCAAACAATCACATCAAATCAAATCAAATCAGGTTTATTTATATAGCACAGTTCATCCATCAAAGCAATTCAATGCGCTTTACAATGAAAAATAATTAAACATCATAATAAAATACAAGATACAAGCAGACACAAGAAAAATTTAAAACAACAAGATAAAAAGACGTAAGAAACTGTAAGGCTGAACAGTACAGCTAGGTTTAAGACCTCAGTCATAAGCACGTGAAAAAAGAAATGTTTTCAACTTGGATTTAAAAATCAATACGTTTGGAGCACATCTAAGATCTTCTGGTAATTTGTTCCAGTCGTGTACAGCAGAGATGCTAAACGCAGCTTCTCCATGCTTTGTTCTAACTCTGTGCTCCACTAGCTGACCTGAGGTCATTGATCTAAGAGCCCTGCTTGGTTTATATTTTTGAAACATTTCAGAAATGTACTCAGGACCTAAACAATTCAGTGCTTTATAAACTAAGAGCATCACTTTAAAAACTATTCTATGACTGATTGGGAGCCAATGCAGAGTTTTAAGAACCGGAGTGATGTGCTCTATTCTCTTAGTCCTGGTTAATAATCTAGCAGCAGCATTCTGAACAAGCTGCAGCTGCTTTACAGTCTTCTTCGGAAGTCCCGTTAATAGGCCATTACAGTAGTCAACCCTACTAGAGATAAAAGCATGGATAAGCTTCTCTAGGTCTTTTTGAGGCACCAAGCCTTTGATTCTAGATATATTTTTCAAATGATAAAATGCTGTTTTAGTGACCGCTCTAATATGACTGTTAAATGTGAGATCTGAATCTATCATAACACCAAGATTACGCACTTGATCCCTGGTTTTAAAGGCACGGGAATCTAATTCTTTAATAATACTTGTTCTTTTATTTTTGTTGCCAAACACAATAACCTCAGTTTTGTCTTGGTTTAATTGTAAAAAATTTAGATTCATCCAGGTTTTTATTTGCTCTATACAGTGGCACAAAGAGTCTATTGAACTGTTATCGTCTGAATCAAGAGACATATATATTTGAGTATCATCGGCATAACTATGGTAGTTAATGTTATTGTTCTGTAGAATCTGGCCTAAAGGTAACATATAGAGGTTGAACAGAAGCGGTCCAAGAACTGATCCCTGTGGAACTCCGCATGTCATGCCCACCCTATCAGATTCAGAATTTCCAATGGTAACAAAGTAACTCCGATCATTCAGGTAAGATCTGAACCAATCAAGGACTGTCCCGGAGACTCCTACCCAATTTTCCAGCCTATCTACAAGAATTCTATGATCTACAGTGTCAAATGCTGCACTGAGATCTAATAGAACCAAAACTGTTATTTTATCAGAATCAGTATTCAGCCGTATATCATTTAAAACTTTAATTAGGACAGTTTCAGTGCTATGCTGTGGTCGAAAACCTGACTGAAATTTATCTAAAAGACCACTTGAAGTCACAAACTCATTTAATTGAATAAATACAGCCTTCTCAATAATCTTGGCTATAAAAGAGAGTTTTGAAATCGGTCTATAGTTATTCATTGTAGAAGCATCCATTGTTCTTTTTTTTAATATAGGCTTAATGGCAGCGATTTTCAAGGACGTTGGAAAAATGCCTGATTGCAAAGAACTATTGACTATTTGCTGCAGATCTGTTACTATAGAGCTAAGAATTGTTTTAAAAAAGTCTGAGGGCAGTATGTCTAGACAGCACGTAGAAGATTTAAGATGTCTAACTATTTCTTCTAGGAATTTTTGATCGATTACATTAAATTGCGACATAGTAACCAAGTCATGTCTTGGTGGAAGTAGTAACGGTAGAGAATCAGTGTCAGACTGTGTAGTACTAATAGTCCGTCTAATATTAATAATTTTTTCACTGAAAAACCACGCAAATTCATTACATTTCATAATAGATGCGAATTCTGATGTTGCTTGCTGTATTGGATTTGTAAGCTTGTCAACCATGATAAATAAAGTGCGGGTATTATTAATACTATTATTGATCATTTCCGATATATGTTGCTGTCTGGCCCTGCATAACTCAATATTAAAATTGCCAAGGCTTTGTTTATAGATGTCGTAATGAATTTGTAATTTAGTTTTCCGCCATTTGCGTTCTGCTTTCCTACATTCTCTTTTAAGGGCATTTACCCCCATGGTGGTTCTCCATGGTGATTTTTGTTTGCTCATATTTCTCTTTACTTTTACTGGTGCAATACCATCGATGACATTCAATATTTTAGCATTAAAATTATCTAGAAGTGCATCAACTGACTCAGCACTTATTGTTGGAGATCTGGCTATAGCTTCTATAAACTGAACATGAGTATTTTCACTAATGTACCTTTTCTTGATAAAAACAGAGTTTACTGGCAAATTAAAAGTAGTAGACAATTCAAAAAAGACACAAAAATGATCAGATAGGGCTAAATCCTTAACCATGACAGATAACATATCAAGACCTTTCGAAATAACCAGATCTAAAATGTGACCATGAGTATGTGTACTCTCTTTCACATGTTGAGTGAGGTCAAAGGTGTCTAAAAGTGCAAAAAATTCTTTGACATTATTGTCTGTACTATTATCTATATGAATATTAAAATCCCCTGTAATAATAAACAACTTAAAATCAACCGATATAATAGAGAGTAATTCAGCAAAATCTTCAATAAAATTAGCAGAATATCGCGGTGGTCTATAAATCGTTACATAAATCGTTACCACATGGCAGTTGCTTCAATGCATTTAGGGGTGTGGTCCTGGTCAAGACAATCTCCTGAACTCCAAACTGAATGTCAGAATGGGAAAGAAAGGTGATTTAAGCAATTTTGAGCGTGGCATGGTTGTTGGTGCCAGACGGGCCGGTCTGAGTATTTCACAATCTGCTCAGTTACTGGGATTTTCACGCACAACCATTTCTAGGGTTTACAAAGAATGGTGTGAAAAGGGAAAAACATCCAGTATGCGGCAGTCCTGTGGGTGAAAATGCCTTGTTGATGCTAGAGGTCAGAGGAGAATGGGCCGACTGATTCAAGCTGATAGAAGAGCAACTTTGACTGAAATAACCACTCGTTACAACCGAGGTATGCAGCAAAGCATTTGTGAAGCCACAACACGCACAACCTTGAGGCGGATGGGCTACAACAGCAGAAGACCCCACCGGGTACCACTCATCTCCACTACAAATAGGAAAAAGAGGCTACAATTTGCAAGAGCTCACCAAAATTGGACAGTTGAAGACTGGTTGTTACCTGGTCTGATGAGTCTCGATTTCTGTTGAGACATTCAGATGGTAGAGTCAGAATTTGGCGTAAACAGAATGAGAACATGGATCCATCATGCCTTGTTACCACTGTGCAGGCTGGTGGTGGTGGTGTAATGGTGTGGGGGATGTTTTCTTGGCACAGTTTAGGCCCCTTAGTGCCAATTGGGCATCGTTTAAATGCCACGGCCTACCTGAGCATTGTTTCTGACCATGTCCATCCCTTTATGGCCACCATGTACCCATCCTCTGATGGCTACTTCCAGCAGGATAATGCACCATGTCACAAAGCTCGAATCATTTCAAATTGGTTTCTTGAACATGACAATGAGTTCACTGTACTAAAATGGCCCCCACAGTCACCAGATCTCAACCCAATAGAGCATCTTTGGGATGTGGTGGAACGAGAGCTTCGTGCCCTGGATGTGCATCCCACAAATCTCCATCAACTGCAAGATGCTATCCTATCAATATGGGCCAACATTTCTAAAGAATGCTTTCAGCACCTTAATTCTACGTGGCATTGATTCAACAAGGTGCTGAAAGCATTCTTTAGAAATGTTGGCCCATATTGATATTGAGATCTGGTGACTGTGGGGGCCATTTTAGTGCAGTGAATTCATTGTCATGTTCAAGAAACAAATTTGAAATGATTCGAGCTTTGTGACATGGTGCATTATCCTGCTGGAAGTAGCCATCAGAGGATGGGTACATGGTGGCCATAAAGGGATGGACATGGTCAGAAACGATGCTCAGGTAGGCTGTGGCATTTAAACCATGCCCAATTGGCACTAAGGGGCCTAAAGTGTGCCAAGAAAACATCCCCCACACCATTACACCACCACCACCATCCTGCACAGTGGTAACAAGGCATGATGGATCCATGTTCTCATTCTGTTTACGCCAAATTCTGACTCTACCATCTGAATGTCTCAACAGAAATCGAGACTCATCAGACCAGGCAACATTTTTCCAGTCTTCAACTGTCCAATTTTGGTGAGCTCTTGCAAATTGTAGCCTCTTTTTCCTATTTGTAGTGGAGATGAGTGGTACCCGGTGGGGTCTTCTGCTGTTGTAGCCCATCCGCCTCAAGGTTGTGCGTGTTGTGGCTTCACAAATGCTTTTCTGCATACCTCGGTTGTAACGAGTGGTTATTTCAGTCAAAGTTGCTCTTCTATCAGCTTGAATCAGTCGGCCCATTCTCCTCTGACCTCTAGCATCAACAAGGCATTTTCACCCACAGGACTGCCGCATACTGGATGTTTTTCCCTTTTCACACCATTCTTTGTAAACCCTAGAAATGGTTGTGCGTGAAAATCCCAGTAACTGAGCGGATTGTGAAATACTCAGACCGGCCCGTCTGGCACCAACAACCATGCCACACTCAAAATTGCTTAAATCACCTTTCTTTCCCATTCTGACATTCAGTTTGGAGTTCAGGAGATTGTCTTGACCAGGACCACACCCCTAAATGCATTGAAGCAACTACCATGTAATTGGTTGATTAGATAATTGCATTAATGAGAAATTGAACAGGTGTTCCTAATAATCCTTTAGGTGAGTGTATATTTATTCAGCACAAATCTTAGCCCAAATTCTTCCGCTTTGGTGAATGAGAAAGATGAAGTGCCAAGGCTTTACCTCAGAGTAAGAATGAACAAAGCTTGGGCCGTTATTTTTGGAAAAAGCATGGCTAACATCAATATACCTGTGGCTTTTACTCAATCCTTTCATTTCAAACTTCAATTCTCTCTAAAATATACCACTTAACCAGCTGAATACATCACTGAAGAGCACTTTGTGACCTCACTGTTATTTGTTAACTTAATGCAAAGTTGCCTTTGGATCCATTTTAATTATGGTATTTGAGTCATCTGTATATACATCTCCATTGACTTTAAAATGTATTTCTTGGCCTCCAGGCCAAACGCCTTGAACAAGATCTACTGAACGATGTGCTAAAAGAAGAGAACCAAAAAGCAATTGTTAAAATACTAACGTCTTTCTGATTACCCAGGAGCACTGTGGCAGTGCCTTTCCCCGTATAAAAAGAGCCTGTGATTGGTCGCTGTGTTATTTCTGTTTAGTCAGACTCGTGCTGCTCTGGGTGATGTGGGTGTGCTGATTGGACTGATGAGCATAATAATTGAACCATCACGGTGCTCCACTGTGCCAGGTGATTACCTCTGAATGGCTGACGGTGGGGGGAGCTCAGTCATTGTGCAAAAAGACCCCAGAAAAGCACTGATTCTGAATCAGCTACGCCTGTTAAGCTGATGGAGAGTAAATCAAAATACAAAATCGGAATCTGATCGCAGGTCAGTAGTGCTTAGGCTCAACCTAATAATGTGAAAGACACATATGTGAAAGAAGCCGTCGGCTGCAATATGGATGAGAGGAATAACCTGCGATATGTAATATGTGAATAGAAAATGGTAGTCAATGAACTTCAATGAGCATGTAAGGTATGAAAATAACAAGGCACCTGGTCTGCCCTCTGCAACAGGTTTTCAATGCAAAAGAAAAGTTCTGTGCAAAATGTGTTTTTTAAAGAGTTTGAGATGTTAATCAAAGACTGTAAGTGAATAGTTGTAAATAAAAATTATCGGAATATGTTTTATAGGAAAATGATGTCATTTCTCTGAAAGTATCTGTGAAACTGATAAGCAATTTCTGAGTGAAAATTGTTTCAAAGTAAACCCTATAGCAATTCTTTATTCAGCGTGTGATTATAAAACAGCCTTGGCACCCTCATGGCCCCCTTTTCAAGTGTTATTCATGCATTTCAATACAAGTATTTAATGCTGTGAAAACTGTAAAGTGATGGCAAATAACATGCAAGCGTATACAGGAGGTTACTGGTATGCTACCGTCTAAGGAGCGCCCACAGTAGATGGCGCTGTGACTATCTGTCATTACCTGTAAGTTTAGTAATGAAGCGGTGCAATTCTACAGAGTAGTTGTTCTTGGCGGTCTCTGGCCAGGCAGTGCTAAGGGTGACCTGAGGTGTGTGAATGCCATTCATCAGCCTGAGGAGACCCTCTATGGCCCCTCCCCTCACAGAACCAAACTGCACCGAGCTCCTAAAACTCTCCTCTGTGATTATACTGTCCTCCGCCCGGATCAAGAAGGACATCTGCTCCACCACCTGAGGGGAGTGAGAGAGCGAGAGAGAGAGAGAGAGAAAGAGTGATGTAAGATGGATAAAGTGGGAAAGAGAAAATGTTGGTAATTCATGTTGTTGAGTGCTAATGGATCACCAGAGGTCAAGACACACTATTAAACAATGAGATCTTTGGTATTCTGGCAAGTCACCAGATGCATTGGAAATAAAACAACGCATGAATAACACATTTATTATGAAAGCTCTGCATGTCCCTTCTTTAAATTTAAACTCAAAATATTATTATGAAAAACAAGCACGTTCAAACCCTGAAAAATCTTTATGAGATCGTGACACAAAAGGCTCTGATTGGGACATTAAATGTCATTTCTTGAAATAGAGCTGCAGCATACCTGAGCTGGCATGGCGTAGTCCACGCGTAGGCCGGTGAAAGGGTCATGGTAGACAATGAGAAGCCTGACAGAAGTGTCTGAGATGAATTTATCCAAGGCTCGCTCACTTTCCTCTGTCCATGACTCCTTTGATATTCCACTCAATGCTAAATGCTGTTTAAATGCTTCTCTCTGGAAGAAAAACAAATTATTAGAGAATTATAGCAATCCGAATTTTTTTTATTTCAAGACAAAATATTGGGTCAGTATGATTTTTTATGTTTTTGAAATAACTCTCTTATGCTCACCAAGGATGCATTTATTTGATCAAAAAATACAATAAAAACAGTGATCTTGTGGAATATTATTACAATTTAAAATAACTGTTTTCTATTTTAAAGGTGCAGTGTGATTGTTAGCGGCATCTAGTGGTGAGGTTGTGAATTGCAACCAACAGAATTTACGGTGGCCGACAGGAAAAGATGTCATCGTCTGAGACAGCAGAGAGTTGCCAGTTAATAGGGTTGCCAACTGTCCCGAATTAGCCGGGACGTCCCGTATTTTGGGCCTAATTTATTTGTCCCGTATGGGACCTCGCTTGTCCCAATTAAATAGACTGCAACGCTGATCTAACCACTGACTGATACAACAGCAACACGACACTTGAGAATGATCACGACTCCGGTCATCATCCAATCACAGCCCACACTCACGCGCATCAGACCATGCGAATAATAACAAACTCTAAATTGAGAATTAATTATTCTTTCGGGACAAATCATTGTTTGATTTGTGCAAATCCCTTCTACTGTCCGGCTGGGTTTTGATTTCAAATCAGTTTTGGCAAAATCAGACAACGTGATTATTGTTCATGAGCCCAACATCCAGCCACGCAAGAATGCCCAATAAACATTTCTGATTATTCTTAATGTTTTTTTTTTTTTTTAAATCATTGTGTCAGTGTTTTATTCGTTGACTTAAGCTAGCTTCTTTGCACGAAGAACAACATAGTGTAGAAACATGTCTGTAAATAAACAACCTGTGGTGTATGTAGATAGAAATGGCTCATTCTAAGGTAATAAAAACATAACGGTTCATTAAGTAAGGTCTTTATGCACCACTGAAAACATAGTTATGTATATGAACTTGCATTTCTGTCAACAGATCCTCCTAAATATTACACAATGCACCTTTAAATATGTTAAATAATGTACTTTATGTATTTAATCTCACTTTATTAAACAATGTCTTTGCTGCTGACCTTTGTTTAAAAAACAAGCAAGCAAGCCCAGCCCAGGTCTGAAAAAGTCATGCAAACGCGCATTATTTTCCATAAACAGCAACAAAATAAGTGACGTTTTTGGAGAGTAACTCAATATGCATCACTTTTAAAAGTACCTTTCCCCAACACTTTTTGCTCAATTTTCTATATATCCTAATCATTTGTAAACAACATGCATTCCTTACTCTTATGAGCTCATTGTTTCTGCCTTATCTGCCTTTAAATTAATACAATGTTAGCTAACTGTGTGATTTGCATATGTATATTTCTGAAACGCGTAACCTGGACACAGTCCCCTCTGATAACAGATCACTCTAAATTGTAATGTAGAGACATGCATTTTCTGATAAAGCTGCTTTGAAATGATATGTATTGTGAAAAGCGCTATACAAATATATGTGAATTGAATTGAATTATATGATGAGAGTATTTTGCATGTCATCATCCTCTCAGAAGTCGCGTGACACAACGCAACACACGAATAATTAGGCATATCCCTATGCTAAAAGCATCACATAACTACCATAAACATATTGATATTTGTCTAAAGGGCTAATGTCAGTGAATGTGCATTACTATAACAAATGTCATTACAACCGGCTCACCAGCTGCTTTTTCTACAGGGTCTCCCAGCAGGGGCGGACACACTCAGCCACTGCATGTAAATGCCATTGCCTTTTTCCAGCCAGAGGGCTGTAATTAATTCTATTAACCTCATTGATGAAAGGACAGAGATGCTATAAGTTCGCTGGCTTGCTCTGCCCACTCGCCCCTCACTTTCTCAGTCATCTCCTCCTCCCATGCTATTTGCATCAGCCATCATTTGTGACCAGGGGTTATCTATCTCTTTTGAGCCAAAGACATCGTCATGCGTATGCATGAGCCAGTAACGGAAATTACAGTTCAACAATATGCTTCTCTTCTTCCTCTATTTTAAAGACCATTGGGTGGAATTTAGCAGTGTTTCTTGAACTATCTTGCTGCCATCCTCCAGATTTGTGTGATCGATGATGAGGTCTCATACGTGAACGCGGCCCAAACAAGACCTTTAAGCCCACGGAGCATGTGGAGAGCGGATGAAATATTCACTCACATCATTAGAAGAACTCAATAACGCAGATATGAAAGCACTGATTAGTAAACCAGGACCGCAGGCGCGAGGGGAAAATTATAAATTGCAGATTATAATCAGATAAGAATCCCAATCATTGTGAGGTGATTTATCAGTGTCTGTGCCTAAAGGCTTGTAATTTAGCATGTATGAGTGAATTACCAGCCGTTTCGTGTAGGAATCTTCTACTTCTGCTGAAACATCCACCTCTGAGACAGGCTTCTCTTTCTCAACTGGAAAAAAAAAAACCATACACAAACACATCATGCGAAAAAATAATTCAAACAACTGTCTAATTTCAGATTTGAAAACATTTTGCACCATAATTCATTCAGGTCTAGATGACCTTTGCAGTTTTGTGGAAAGACCAGAATAATAAAACGATGGTTCATCTGCAATAACTTTGTTTTTAATGTGGTGCCCACAAACACAACCGACCAAAAAAGTGAATAAGTAAAACATATCAAGCACAAAGTTTTAGAACGATTCTAGATAAATTGAGACTCAATAACATTTTATTTACTAGAGGTTCAGAGTCTCGGACAAAATGTAAATTGCTGCATTCTATTTAAAAATTGTTTAAATAATTTGAATGTATTTTTTTTTTTTAATCGGTTTGAATGAATGATTCAATGACTCACTCATAAAGACCTCACTTGTTTCATTACTGAATGAATCAGTGTTTTTGAACAAATCTCTTGAATGAATGATTCAATACGTGTGTGTGACTTGAAGCGGCGCTGCATTGACCAATCGGTGTCAATGCAGCCGCATTGACCAATCACTTATTTCCTACTGGTGTATTAGATACAATCTTTATTTGAAGCGTCAATTTACTTTCAAAAGGTAATTTACTCCATTTTGATCACTACTGTAGACATCAGTGTTTATATCCGAACTATAAACTTTTATCCCAGTACTTCTGTGATAATTATTATTGTAACACCGACATAATGATATTTGAGTGTTCGCTGTGATACTTGTCAAAGGTGTATTAGACATTGCCGAATCATTGTCCCTTAGGAATAAGATCACGTGGATGTTTAAATCGCGTTTGTGATCTTTTAACGGTTAATCATGCAGCTCTAATGTGAGTACAATAAGAAGTGTGAAAATAAACACAATGGTCTTAGATGGAGTGGTCCTAGATTTAGCTTGTGGTAGAGCCTTGCACTACTTTATGGCTTTACAAAAAAATCAAAGTAGTGTCGGTGTGTATGTGAAAATGGAGTTGCATTAACTGCAGATTGTGTGTGTGCTCACAACAGTCTACTTCATAAAATAACTCAAATAAGTATGAGTGCATTAGAGGTAGCGTTGAGTGGCATTAAAGGAGTTTCTGTCATAGTTTTCTGCATCACTATACCATTATGCTGACATTTTTGGCACCATTGCCAAAAACATAATGACGCTAAATTATGCCGCATTTTTCAGCACATTGTAAATAACAGACAGATAAGAGATTGTTTCTTTTTCATACCTGCAACCTCTGGCACTTCTAAAGGGACGTCACTGGGGACCGGTGTGGAGGATATGCGTTTGCTCTTGGAGTGACCTTTCCTTGAGACAGACTGCTTGGACATGCTGGAAGATGAACGGCCAGGATCGGGGCTCCCTGGGTCAGCCATCCTGCGGGACTGATACCTCTGTGTGCTCGTTTACCTTTCAGTAAGAGTAAGGCAGAGATAGAGTCATACAATAACCACAAACTCGCTACTAGAGGTCACTTCTTCAAAACAATAACAAATGCGTAGCTTGAGGACGCCGTGAATGAGCGTGGAATCATGGGAGTTGTCGTCTTCACCTCCACACAGCCGATGGAAAGCAATCCGACGGGACTCAGAAAACGTGTTCATGGTTGAGCTAATGTATTAAAGTTGTATTAACATTATTGTGGTATGAAGCAGGGCGGGGCCGAGAGCCGTGGGAGTGGAACAAGGCCGGTGGAGCGAATGCTAATGAGTCTCATGGAGGAGCACTGGAGCTTTAGGCCGGATTCACATATAGCGCCTAAAAACGCAAAGAAAACGCTGGGCGCTCCTTTTTCCAAAGCGCTAGGGCAGTTGCGCTCCGGTTGGTTCTTGTCACGTGACCTACTGTGCGCTTATGGTGCGCTTGCGGCATTCTGAAAAGTTGAGATGTTTTTATCTCGATGCGGCGCGGGCGCGCATGGAAAAAACGAGCGCATCGCTTCCATTATGAGCGCGCATACCGCGCGCCTACATTTGAAATAACGAACTTGAGCGCGCAAAAGACGCGATATGTGAGCATACCCTTAATTATGCTTATATGCCGCACTCCTCTTGTTTTGTTGTTTATGTTTATTTTATGATTAAAATGTCCAAATCATACTAAAAATACATAGTTCTGTGGCTGCACACTGCAGTGAACTAGATCGATATTTGAATATAATATAAAAAAACGCCGGATGATATGTGATGCTAAACGGCATGCAATTAATTTTAAACTACATTGTCTGGTAGAGAAAATGCTGTATTACTGTTAATAAAGCTTTTTCTGATTATGCTATGTTTGCCACTTGACAAAATATTGTTTCTAAGGTATGGTACAAACATGTTACTCGCGGTAAATCAAGAAAACAAAAGATTCAATCAATAAGACTAACCGCTTTGAGCTATATAACGATTCGTTTTCTGTCGATAAAGGTAGCCAAACAGTTGCTCACCTGTCTAATAAAATGCATTATATTAAGGTGTCTTTGGTGTTTCCGTGCTTTCTACGGAAGTAAAGCCTTAAATCGAGGGTAACGCGGATATGACGTTGATACGGGCCGTTACCCTGGATAAAATAGCTGATTTCTCTGGATTGTTGGAAACATTTGGGATAACGTACACAAGTCAACAAAATATAACATTTTTATAGTGTTTTTTTCTTTATATACCTTAACCCCAAAATCTTACATATTGTGCCTTTATATATTAAACTTTGTCACATAACTCGAGCCATATACTATTTTTGTGCTATGAACATGAATTAGGCTATACCTCAAATAACACGGCTCGTTAAGGACGGGAAAGTGACAACAATAAAGCTGAGGATATCAAAAACATTCTAATTATATATTGGTTTCTATGTGGTTTTAGTATGTTTTTGATTAGAATCTCTAATGCTCAACAAGGCTACTTATTTGATAAAAACATACAGTAAAGATGTTATTACAAAATCAACATAATCAAATATTTGAAAATGTAATTTATTCCTGTGATGGCAAAGCTGAAATTTCAGCACCATTACTCCAGCCTTCAGTGTCACATGATCCTTCACAAAACGTAATATGCTTATCATCACATTACAAAACCTTACCAATATAAATGTGCACACAGACTTCACAGCAGGGAAACTTCAATTACAAAATGTGCTCAACATCCTAATGATGCTGTCTAGAGCTCTGTGATTTCTCCAAGCCATTCTTGGTCCAAGTAAATAAAAGCATGAACAGAGGCAGAAAAAAACAAACATTTTGAACATCAGAGAACCTTTTAGCACAGACTTGCTATGAGTTTCCCAGCATCCCAGTATTGCCTCCTTTTCTCGTAGTCTCTTCTTAGACAGACGATATGGATAAATCTGCCTCAGTCAGGAAGCGAGAGCAAAAAATATCTAGCTCATAAACTATTTATCTTTTCCAAGCTGATGTCTCTCCCTCCATTTCCACATTTAGTTGTCAACACCAGCAGGCCCTCCTTCTTTATTGAAGCTTTGATTCAGCTCCCAACTTGTCAGTTTTGTTGAGTGCTGTATGTAATAAAGCAGACAGTTTTGCAGGCAATACAAAAGGGATGAAAAGGAAAAGGTAAGACAGGGAGTCTGTGAGTAATGGAAATCATTTAAAACTGCAGATCCCGTCAGATCAGATGAAATTTGGAAGGCAGCAGGTTTGATCAGTTAAAATAAGTCTGGGAGACACTCCATCAGATGAAATGACAAAGCCAAGTTTGTGACTGATTATATACTTCGGGAATCTAGCTCTCTGTGGAACTAAACCATATGATTTTAAAGATCTAACGTTAACTGTAATATAAAAGCCTGGAGAAACACCTGTGAGATTTTATATATCTCTCTTCGTTGTTCATTTACTGACTGGTGTCGAGTGACATGGTTATTTTATAACAAATCAGCTGTTAAATGTCTTGTGTTGTGTAAAGCACTAACATATTCAAAGAAGTCACCAAATATCAAAGTACATAACGTTAGGCCTCAACCTACAATAAGGCATGTTTGTGCTAAAGGCAGAGAGCAACCGTTTGTTTCCGTCTTAATTTTTAAAGTCTCAGTTAAGTTTCAAATAAGCAAGCAAAATATCACTCTTACCTCTGAGATATTGCCTCAGACAACGTCTTCCAACTATATAAATGACTAAAAGAGCGTAAAGTCAAAGTTTTCAAACTGTTTCAAGCGGTAAACCCCATTCGGACGCCGCTGCGCGTGGGGACTGTGTGGACGCGTCTCCATGGAAACGGCGCATGACGCTGGATTTCTGTGCACGGATATTGCGTATGTGTCTAAAGTCATTGAAGCTTTGAATGAATACACAAAAAAACCCAGCTGTAAATAAACAAATAAATAATAAACACTGTAATGCTTGAATTTTGGGAATAAGAAATACGTATGGCAAGCCGTTGTAACATTTAATCCTTAAAATCCTAGTAGCCTACTTATTAGTGTCACAGTCATCGTCTGCACCATTCTGTCTTCGTCATCTTCACTACACTACCCAGAATCCTCCTTGTCTCCACACCTGAATTCACTCCCTCAATCATCCACCTGTTCATCGTCTTTATCATTTGTGTCACCTGTCCTCACCTCGTTAGTGGTCGTTTGTATAGTTCTCTCTGTTCAGTCTGTCTTTGTCGGTTCTATTTCGTTCTTCCTGACCGCCAGAGGCAGTGCTTCACACTGGATACTATCTCTCGTTGCAATGCATAGGTCGAGTCTAATACAAACAATGTCCCTCGTGACCAGGATGACTCGGGGTGCTCCCCTATTTAACCCCGTGACTTCCTGCAGACTGTCCCTATAATCTTCTCGCGTGCACGTATGCAGGTCGTAGATTATATATAAAAAAAAAAAAAAAAAACTGGAATCCGTTCTTCACAGCTTCGCAACAGAAAACATTCGTTGGTGTCTCGCGACTGCGCGTCCTCCAGAGGCTGCAACGGATTCATTGATAACGAAATAAAGCAACACGGCTGGTGAGTTTGTTTACATTTATGCTGGGGTTCGTTCTCGTTTTCCTGGCATTGTGTTGGTCGCTAGACAGAGTGTTTTCGCTCGTTGAAAGGGCCATAACAACTTGCAGCTGTAAGTAAGTAAGTAAGACCACGCTTGGAGGGTGTGCCCTCTGTATGGCGATTGGTATCTGGACTACAATAGGTACAATACTCATCTACTGTGTTATTGAATTAGTCTAGCATTGTTGTAAAGAGTTAAGCTTGTGCCTGGTGTGTATATAACAATATACACACAATAATTATGGTAGAATATTTGTAGTATATTTATTTACATGTACACTTCAATAATTGTGTGTGTATAATATATTGTATAGAAGTTATTCTCTAGTAACGTTTTCTGGCAAGGCTTGCTTAGGACAGTAACAGTCAGAGTGATTCCGCTCGACCTACCAAATATCTTCCGGAGCCTAAATGGAAAAGTTACTTCATACTTGCACATTGTGCATGGCTGTTCTCCAGGCGGATGATGGGCATGACTGCTGCCCTTCCTGTTTAGGCCTAGAACACCTTAAACAGGGCCTCACAGAAGATGCCTGCATGAACTGTAGCGTCATGTCTTCAGAGAGGAGGACTTCAAGGATAACCATGGTGCAAGGGCTTTTGGGGGAGTCGCTACCTCCACCCCCACCACGTAAAACAACAAGTAAGCGTAAAAATACTGAATCAACCAGTGCTTCCGCTGGTAAAAGATCCAAGGAAGACCCTTTAGGGAAGAAGGTGGACGTGCTGGCGGCTGAGTTTGCTCAGATTAAGGCTTTGCTTATGAAGTTGCAACCGGGCGAGAGACTAGTATCCTCAGTCGAAGCCCCTGCTATGGAGTCGCCCATTGGGGAGGAGGATATCCTTTCAATGGCGGCTTCTCAGAGCCAGTTCTATGATGATGTTGATGGAGAGATGCAGGTTTTATCTGATCATCAATCCCAATTCTCCCATGATGGCTCCCAGGAAGCTGGTCATGGATCTGCAGAAGGTCCACAGTCAGAGCAAGAGCTAGTGAAGCAGGCTCTTCAGGCTGCATTGGCTCGCTTGGGTCTTGACCAACCTCTTCTAGTGCTTTTTTCAGAGGTTCAGCGCAACCCTCTCCTCTTACAATTCCACCATCAAAGGATTATATCGAGGAGTTGCAAAGATGTTGGGCTAACCCTAGGTCGCTTACGCACCCCACTAGTGCAAGCAGGGCATTGGCTGCGATGCAGGATGCAGACACTTATGGCTTGGGTCAGATGCCTAAGGTTGATCCATTTATTGCCTCTTTTGTTCTTTCCCCAGAGGAGGTATTGAGGCCTAATGTTCGTTGCCCCCGGCCTCAATGTAGGATTACAGATGACCATCTTATCCAGGCATATAACACAGCAGCACGAATGGGTCGCATTGGCAATTCTCTCTCCCATATCATGTTGGCCCTGTCTCAATCCCTTCAATCATCAGGGAGTGATCCTTTTAACCAAAACTTAAGTGATGCATCCCTTCAGGCAATAGCATTCATGACAAGGGAGCTGGGAAGGCTGATGTCAACGCTCACACAAGCACGCCGCCAAGTCTGGCTTGCACAATCACCTCTGTCTGAGGCATGTAGGAGAACACTGAGAGACCTTCCAGTAGTTCCAGGGCAACTCTTTGGGCCAGCTGCACAGGAGACACTGGAGCGTAGTGTCCAGGTGAATCAGACCAGGCAGCAGTTTGCTGACCTGAGGAGAGTTCCACAGGCTCACTTAAATTACCGTCAGCCTTCTAGGGGGTATGAACTACCACGCTCTACGTTTTCAGCACGCTCAGGTGATGTTCACAGGAGCCAGCCTTCGAGATCACCGCGAGTAGGAAATTCTGCTCAGCGGCCCCGGGCTCGGGGTCAGCAAGAATTTCAGGCCCCTAGGGGTAGAGCACCTGGCCAACGGCCCACCAGGGATGCTAGAGGCCATGGACGTAGGTCCTGAGGGTCCGCGGCCAGCCGTCGGACAGTTTTCTTATCAGCAGCTCAGTTACTGGGAAGCAACAACTCCCGACCCATGGGTTATAGCAACACTAACCCAAGGGTACAAGCTGCAGTTCCGACGGCGGCCGCCCGCCTTCAAAGGGGTCAGGATGACTGTAGTCTCAGACCCCAACAGTTCACTTGCCTTAAGACAAGAAGTAGCACAACTCCTGGAGAAAGGTGCCATCGAACCAGTAGATTGGTCAGAACGGCTAAGTGGGTTCTTCTCCATTTACTTCATCATTCCAAAGAAAGATGGCGGTGTAAGGCCCATACTCGACCTTCGCGGCCTCAACAAGTTCCTGAAGATCTTACCATTTCGTATGCTGCGCATAACCGATGTTCTTCAAGCGGTCAAGCAGCAGCACTGGTTTACTACGGTAGACCTAAAGGATGCTTACTTCCATGTTCCAATTGCTCCTCAACACAGGCCGTTCCTCCGATTTGCATTCCAGGACCAGGTCTATCAATTCCGTGTCCTCCCATTCGGCCTTTCTCTGTCGCCACGAGTCTTCACCAGATGCATGGCGGCCGCACTGGCTCCAATCCAAGCCAGAGGGTTACAGGTGCTTCCATACCTGGACGACTGGCTCCTTTGCTCCCACTCTCAGGAGCAGGCAGTGTTAGAAATCACACAGCTGCTCGCACATATTACTCGACTGGGCCTTTCTGTAAATTTCAGCAAGAGCCGATTAACTCCAAGTCAGTCTGTGAGGTTCCTAGGTCTCACGCTGGACTCACGGTCAATGAAAGCCGCTCCATCAGAACAACGAGTGGACAATATACTACTCCTCCTTCAACGCTTTCGGAGGCAGGCCAGGCTTCCATTCAGGTGCTTCCTCAGGCTCACAGGTATGTTGGCGGCAGCAGCGGCAGTCATACCATTGGGTCTCCTTTCACTACGCCCCTTTCAAATATGGGTGAACAGTCTCCACTTGAACCCCAGTTGGCACAGGAACAGGTTGATCAAGGTGTCACAGCGATGCCTTCTGGCCCTGAATTCTTGGAGGAGCAGATTGTATCTGACCAAGGGGGTTGTTCTGGGCATGATTCCCTCTCGGAGGGAGATAGTCCAGACCGATGCGTCCCTTACTGGCTGGGGGGCAGTCTGGCAACACAGAGCAGTCACAGGACAGTGGGGTCCTCAGGAAGACGGCGAGAATATAAATACCCTGGAACTTCGTGCAGTTCTGCGAGCTCTGAAGCACCTCGCTCCGTTTTTGAAGGGCAGGCATATTCTCGTCAGGTCGGACAACAAATCGGTGGTTTATCACATCAACCACCAAGGGGGCACATGGTCCAGCCAATCCCTTCAAGTTTCACAGGAACTGCTGACTTGGGCCTTCCCTCGCTTTGCAAGCATCAGAGCAATGCATATCCCAGGGGTATCAAACGTGGTTCCAGATTTCTTGTCACGCCACAGAATTCCATCGACGGAGTGGAGGCTCAACCCGGAAGTGGTAGAGATGATATGGCAGCGGTTTGGCAGGGCAGAAGTGGACCTATTTGCCTCGGCGACAACGACCCAGTGCCGTCTCTGGTTCTCACTAGCAGAGGAGTCCAGTCCGCTGGGGCAGGATGCTCTAGCCCACGCCTGGCCAGATCGGTTACTCTATGCCTTTCCCCCGATACCGATGATCGGAGTGACTGTTCACAGGGTTCTTCAAGAGCACCACAGGCTGTTGCTAGTGGCGCCGAACTGGCCGGGGAGACCTTGGTTTCCAGTGATGTACAGGCTCCTAGACGGGGTTCCTTGGACCCTTCCCAAGAGGAAGGATCTCCTCCAGCAGTTGGAGGGTCAGATTTGGCACCCGAACCCAGACCGCCTGCAGCTCTGTGTGTGGCCTCTGAGGGGCCGGAACCACTCTTTGGAGCCTGCGATCAGGGGGTCCAGAACACCATATTGAACTCTAGAGCACCTTCCACCAGGAGTGCTTATGCCTATCGATGGAAGCTTTTCTCTGAGTGGTGTAGGGAGCAGGCAGTGGTCCCAGAGCACTGCCCTGTTCCTCTGGTTTTACGTTTTCTGCAGTCACTATTGGAAAAGAATAGAGCAGCTGCTACTTTGAGAGTTTATGTGGCTGCAATTTCAGCACATCACGTACGAATAGATGGTCAACAATTGGGTTCTCATGCCTTGGTTACTCAGTTTCTTAGAGGTGCTCAGCGACTGCGCCCCCCTCAGTCCATTA